TACCACTTAACTTTCAATGATCAGTTTTTTTTTTCAAATAAAGTGGGTGGATAGACAGGTAGGCTGGGCAAGGTAAGCAGGTTCTTGGATTGGGTTTTTGCGTGTGAGCTAATGGCTTGGGTTTCGGGCCGTGTAATGGGTTCTTGAAGGTTTGGGCTCGAACGGGCCAACTATTGAATCTATCAATTTTGGGGCCAAGTAACATGTCTCATAGACCAACTCAACCCATGACACCCCTAATCCCAACTGCCATGGGACCAAAGACGACCCAATACAAATCGAGGCCTAAAGCGAGAATTTAACATTAAAGTCGATCAATATTTTAGGAAGATAATAAAAAAATTATGGGGCTCTTGTTATGTCGCATCCCATTCAAATGATTGTCGTGTCTGTATATCTCGCAATGTGTAGTCTCTGCGTGTCTCTTGTTGTTGAATTTTCGTCCATGAAACCGATTAGGTGAGACAAAATTGATTACTAGATAACATGCAAAGATTAAAACAAATATATATGTTAATCTTTATTTTTTACATTTTATTTCAATTTGTCAAAAATTATGTGTGAACCGTTACAGGTAGGAGTGTCAATTTTCGACACGACACGAATTGAATATGAAATTAATGGGTTAGACACGAAATTAAACGGGGTCAACACGTTTAAACATGAAAAAAATCATGTCGGGTTTATGTTAAAATCAGGTCAACCTAATTTTGACTTGATTAACCTGTATATTTTAAACGAGTTGACATACTTTGGACATAAACCCGACCTAACTCATTGTAGACCTGTTTAACCCGTTTATGCCAGTATAATTTGCCTATTATGTATAACTGAGGTGGTTTTTACCATTATTACTTATTACCTCTACTATGGTAATTGACACTATAGTTCTTAATATTATTATGACATTATAATAGTATAGTTCTTGCTTTAATTTTTGGGTTGAAACTTAAATATATTTTAGTTAATTTCATTGATGAGATGTGATATGTTATTGATTAAAAAATTATTTGAAATTTTAGATGAATAATGTATGAGCAATGTTATGTAACCTAAATTTGTAACCCAAATCAATACGGATGATTGAATTAGTGGTTCCCATTTAAGTTGATGAGACTCACTCATCCAATAGTCCATGTTCATTTGGGATGCAAATTTGGGTTGTAAATTTAGGTTACATAGTATTTTTCATGATATATTAACATTAATGAACAGGTGTGGAAACAGGTTGTGTGTTAAACAGGGTCAGGTTATGTGTGTTAATCTGAAATTAACTTGTTGATTAAACATGTCAAACAAGTTGGGTTCGAGTAATCCGTTTAATAGCCATGTCAAATTAATGTTTACACATCTCGACACGATTATTAAACATATCAGGTTTGTGTTTTGGGATTTTCGACACAAACTTGAAATCAATCCGATATGAAATGATCCAACTCGACACGTTTGACACCACTAGTTAGATGATAGTGTTATAATAATGTTACAACGTGTTGTGCATAATTTTTCTTTTTTGGTAATTTAGGCATTTACATATGTACTATTTTCATACTCATGTAATATGTGTGCAACTATTCAATAATACAATCCATAGGAATTGTAAAAATACATAAATTATCTCTTTGAAAATTGTTCATAATGTACATAGATCATCATGGCTAACTGAAAAGAGTTTTACTTTCATGACTAGTAAACCCTTTTTAGCAAAGAGATTTGCACATTTGTTTCTCTCTCTCATCTTTTGCTTGCCTAGTACTTTTCGAAATCTCTCAAGTAACCCATCAAGAGTTAATTAATATATTTTGAGGTTCATATTGGTGACTCTAAATAAAGTTTTTATTTTCTAATATTAGTTTAAAAAAATTCTCACTTTTTGAGATGATGATTATTATTTAATTTTGTATACGTATATTTTTAGTTGATCACATGATTAATCTACCTAATCTTTCTAATTTTATGAGATCTATTATTGTCTATTTACCTAAATTTTACATAAATTCTTTTGTTATGTTATGTTTGTTACCAGTGACAAATATATTTAAAATATTTTATTTAAAATTCATATAGTATTAAAAAAAATTCTCTTGTTCAATTTTTTTCATATTCAAATGTTTGTTTTCTAATTTTTATATTTGCAAATCAATGAAATACTTCTATAATACAAAAATATTACTATCTTGAAATTATAAAAATTAAAATTTATTACCGTCATCAACAAAATTAAGATATGCTATTAGGATTCTCCCTTGACATTGTCTATTAGGAGAAAAAAAAGAAGGGAATCAATAGATTAATATTTTATATATTTAATTAATTTAAAAAGTATTACACTCGTAATAAATTACACTACCAGAAAAAATATTTTTTAAGATATATTTTTTGTGACATTTATAATATCTACGCCAATTTTATAATTTTATCTTAAATCTCTATTTTATTAATATTTTTTGCAACATGTTTCCAAGTTTGTCACAAATGGCAATTCCCTTCTATTATTTATTACGATAAAAATTTTTTGTTGCAGATAGTATTAAATTGTTGTAAAAATAAATAATCAAAAATTGAAATAATTATAAATAAAAATATTAAACAACTAAAATGACGTCGTTTTGAACTTTTAAAATACCCATTCCCTCCATAAACAACGTCATTGTCGGCATTTAAAATTAAAAAAAAAAAACCTCATTTCCACCCAAAAACGACATCGTTTTAAGAAGCCTCCCTAAATGGTGTCGTTTTGAGAAAAAAGTAGTAGTCCTCTTTTTTCTCTATATACAGAGAGAGAGAGAGAGAGAGAGAGAAATATACCTTCCAATGAGGACTAGTGGACACCACTTGCGGGAAGAGAGACCAATGAGAAGATCAGACGGAGACAAAAAAGGGAAAGGGTAAAAACCCTACTTTTGCTACTGTACAAGGGTATTTTAGTATGGGGCTTAGGGAGGCCGTTACCTTCTAAAAAATTTAATAGGATAAAAGTGTATTTTTTAAAATAATTGGGATAGAAGTACATATGCTAAAAAAAAAAATCATAAAAGTCCTTTTACCCCTACTATAAATAGTGCATACCTAATTGAATGTGAGACTTTCAAGATTAGAATGTGAGACTTTCAAGATTCCTTTTGATATTTGTGTATCATTTGAATTTTGAAATTTCATATATATATATATATATATACACACACACACACGTAATCTAGTGACATCAAATAGTGACACGCTCAACAAAAAAAGAGTAACATCAGACAGTAACATACTCAACAAAAAAAAGAGTAACATCAAACAGTAACACACTCAACAAAAAAAGAGTAACATCAAACAGTAACACAAATATTTTTGTTGAGCGTGTCACTGTTTGATGTCAATGTATTACTTGTGTGTGTGTATATATATATGAAATTTCAAAATTCAAATGATACACAAATATAAAAACGAATTTTGAAAGTCTTACATTCAAATAAGTATGCACTATTTATGGTAGGAGTAATTATGGAATACATTTTAGAAAAAAATTAAAAATGTTTTAAAATGTGTACTTATTGACAACTATTTAATGAAAAAGAGGACTTAGAGGAGAATAAGTTTAGAGGTAGTACTTAAAGCCAAATAAGTTTTAAAAAATGTACTCATATCCTATTATCTCTTTTAGTATTTGCAAGCTCAGTAGTTGGGATAACTAATTCCAAAGTTTTGGTGGGATTCAACAAAGTGGGTCAGATGAGAGAAATGACTACGGGGCGAGGATTTCAGCCTAACGTTTATCCCACTCAAAAAAATGGATCCAAATCAACTAGGTGGTGTTTGGATCACCATGGGAGGATTGAATTGGATTGGATTTGAATCCAAACCCAATCCAACCCAATGCAATGTGGTTTGAATTGGAGGATTATAAAGTTCACATTCAAATCCTATCTCATGTTTGGATAGATTTCATTTGATTTGTGAGTCTCATTCACATGAAAAGATAAAACATATTAAAATGACTATTTCACCCTTGTGTAAAAAAATGTTATCCAATTATATACTCAGTTTGGAATGAAATAAAAAAAAGTTCAATCAATTAGAATTGTCTTATTTAGAAAAAAAAATATTAATGCAATAAATATTTTGTTCATATATTTAATATAATTTCTACAATACACTTTTAATCACAAACATCCTAAAGCCAATTGAATTATTACAATGAAACACACGAGAGTCGAAACCACCAAACTGCCCAAACAAGACCAGAGAACAAAGAGAAAGAAAAGAAAAAAAATTAAAGAAATCTACTTCTCTTTCTCAGCTTCTTCAATACTTGCTAGTCCTAAAGCAGCAATAATTTCGCCTGGAAAGGAACACATAACTCCGGGGGGGAAATCAGAGGAGAAGCCATCATTTACAGCTAGGTTTGCAAAAAATCTGCCAGACAATTTGCCTCTCGAAAAATATGCTTGATGTTGAAATTCATCGCCCCCAGCAACTCCGAAATCTGTCTCAACAGATTCCAAAACTTCCAGGCCCATTTGAAAATAATAACTATTGACAAATTTGAATGCCTTCCGGGACTGCTTCACTCCTCCCTTTCCCAGTCCATTGCCCCCCTTCCAAGTCTAGACAATAGCGATTGATGCTTCAAAATATGAGAGAGGGAGAGAGAGAGAGAGAGAGGACTATTCACGACTGTGGAGTGGGCTATTGGAGGCGGTGAGGTGAGGAAGAGAGAAAAATGCTTACGTTGTAGCCCTAAACTGAGTACTATTTTAAGGTCATAACGGTAAAATCATCAGTTATCCTGTCTTTTGAAAATTTGCCCAAATGAATTCATATGCTCCGTGGGTTTAATGAATCCGGATCAGAAGGGATACAAGGCTTCAATCAGGCCGAGTAATTGAGTAACAAATTTATCCCATCTGAATTTGTGGATCCGAACCTGGGTCATGTGGCCCCCCGATAATTTATATCCAATCCAGGCGAGTTATCCACCTTTATCCCTCGAACCAACACCAAACACCACCCTAGGGGTTATCCCTTATAATCTTTTCCGAAACCCACCCTATGCGTCTTTGTCTACCTCACTCTCTCGCTCTATCTATCCCTCTCACGCACACAAACGTTTCGGAAGCAAAAAGAGAGGTATTTTTGATTGATGTGCTCTGGAGGATTTAGGCTCGTGTGCACTTTGTTTGAAGCTAAAAAAAAAACATGAGAGTGATGCGTTTGAGTCAATTTTTTTACAGGATTTTGATTTATTGGAGGCTTTGAAGGTGCTTGGGATTCAAATTTTCGAGTAAAGAGAGAAGTTTATATCTATCAGCATAATGTTAGATCTGTTTCATTGACTCAAAAACTCTACTCTGTACTCTCTCTCTCTCTCTGTGCGTGTGTGTGTTCTCTGATTCAAACTTTTTTCTTTTTTGTGTATGAAATGTTTGTGTTTTATTTGAGTGGAGCCGCGAATGATGTGATTCCCAAATGGGTTTGGATTTCTTGAATAGCTGTAGTTTTAATAGTGACATAGACTATGAGTTTCTAATCGTTGGGTTGAGTTGAAAAATGTGTAAACTTGATAAGAGAATTAGATAAGCAAACAAATGGGACTTGGGGTTCAATATAGTTTGTTTGTATGTATGTATGTTCACTGGAGAGATAAACGAAAAGAACATAAATATTATACTTCCTTTATTTGTTCGTCACTATTGCAATTTTTGATAGAATAAAGGGTAGCTTTGTACCATTGGCTTAATTCTGGATGGAAATAAATATATTTTCTATAAGCTCATTTGCTTCTCGAGTATGTTTTTTGTCCTCCTTGAGAAGAATAGCTAATAATTTGATTCTGTTTTTCTACTACTAGTTTTGGACGTAAATTTTTGATGCTATCGACACGATTTAAGCTAAACCTTTTTCTATTTCACCTGATTCATGATGTATCATAGTGTTCATGAAAAAGAATTAACAAGTTACACAGTGACAATTAAAAGATGTCAATTGGCTCTTCAACTTGAAGCTCGAATCTCTTTGGCTGCACAATTGCAAGTGACCTCAGTTCATCATTGGAATTCAAATCCCTCCAAATGTGGTTTAAGCATACAAAGAGAATCCAGTGAACAGAGTTCTAAACCATACAACTCCTTCCACTAATTTGTGCTTTATTTAATAGTTTGATTTGTGTTTTAATTTTATATAAAGCAATAGTATAGCTAGAGGGAGAACGTGTGTGTGTGTGAGAGAGAATGACTAGTAATATCTAATGTAAAGATGTTTTTACACTTTTTCAACCTTATTATTTTTTTGCCAAATTTAATTGTGTCATTGGGCTGGACTTTGGGTCCAAATCATTAAACTAAGTTTTTTTTTTTTTTTTTATGGTTAAAATTATAATTGGGATTTTTTTGACTCAATTTTTATGGGTTTAAATTTTTTGTATGGACTATGTTATATAGACTTATAAATTTGGGGCCTCTATTTAAATTGGGGCCTAAAGCCCATGCTTTAGTGCCTTATGTATGGGCCGGCCTTGCATGGGATCTATGATACACTTCCAATCTTTCATTTCTAATTTCTTTTTTCTTTTATTTTCTCAACAATCAAACTATGATTTATGCATTTCTAATATTTCAGTAGGGCAATGTTTGGTGGGCTGAGAAAACAAAGGAAAAGAAATCTGTGTTTTGACATTGTCTGTTGTCCAGTTTCCAAGCAAATCATCTAAATAATTGTACAAGGATGAGTTGAGTTTGCTATTTCGGTTTTGCAAACAGCTTGCCAATAATTAGTGGTTGATCTACACTTGTGGGAGTTTTAGTAGGTAATGTTTGATAATCTGTTTTTGGTCTGGGAAGGAAGTAATTCTTGTGTTAATTAATTCCAGCGGTTGATTGAAAGGGACTTGCATCATTATTTGAGTAAAAGAATGGCATCAATGGGGAGACCGACGCCATCTCTGAAGAGACGTGATTCAATGGTATCAAAAGAAGGGGATCAGCTGATTATAACCCCTTTAGGGGCTGGCAGTGAAGTGGGTCGGTCCTGCGTTTACATGTCTTACAAAGGAAAAACTGTTATGGTATCATTTCATAAGCCCATTGGCCTTTTATTTTTGGTTACTTGTGGGTGTTTGGGTTTTGTATTGCATTTAATGTGATTCAATTTGATTATTGTTAGTTTGACTGTGGAATTCATCCTGGGTACTCAGGCATGGCTGCTTTGCCCTACTTTGATGAAATTGATCCTTCAATCATTGATGTTCTTCTTGTTACCCAGTATGTTATTCTATTTGTTCTTTTTTTGGACTTTTTAATTATTGTTGCAACATCCTTAGCTACTATTTTGAGGTTTTGTGGGTGGTTTTACCTTTTGGTAGGAACTGTTATGTTGAGTTGAAAACAAAAATTTCAAACTGTAATGAGACTGTATAGGCAATTCATAGTTCTTGTACATTAATAAGACCAAATGACATTTTTGAGCCAATTGCTAACATGATCTGTTAAGTTAAATGATGGTGGGTCAATGACTTTGGTTTGAGTTGCTTTAATTTGGATGATATATTGGAAACAGGAAATGAAATATCTAACCTACTGTGTTCTGGTTGCTTTAGCATGAAATTGCCTCAATGTTTTTTATGGGTAGATTCAATTCACTTTTAAACTTGTTTGACCCTTTCTCTAGATTCCACCCTTATCAGTGTTCGGGAAAGAGATGAAGAAACCAAGGTGTTTTTTGTTTTTCATAACCTTTCTTTTTTTTTTGTTTGTTACATTGCTTTTGTTGTGCATGTGCTATGTGTCTATAACTTATTTTGTGATGGCATCTTCAACTGGAACTTTTCTTTCTACTTTTAAGGACTTTCTTATCTCAACTTTCCTTTTCTTTTAGTTTTTTTTGGCTTAATTTTATTCCCTGATTGATCATACTACAATGTTCTGTTTGCAGTTTTCACTTGGATCATGCTGCATCCCTTCCATATTTCCTGGAGAAGGTTCGTTGCTTTCTCGACTTGTTTTAATTTAACTAATTTTTGTCAATTTCTTTTTAGATAAACTAAATGAATTGGCTTGTTTTCAGACGACATTCAAAGGGCAGGTTTTTATGACACATGCAACAAAGGCTATCTACAAGTTGCTTTTGTCTGATTACGTGAAAGTGAGCAAAGTTTCAGTTGAAGACATGTTGTACAATGAACAAGACATTCTTCGCTCCATGGATAGAATAGAGGTTTGTTCTAATGTTGTTGCTATATGTTTGGTCTCCATCTTTGTCTGGCCTTTTGGTCTTTCCATTTTCCGTCCTACTTTAGGTATTAATTTCACCCCTTTATGTGAATCTCACACAAGCAATTTTTGTTTGATATTAAACTTTGTTTTCTTACTATGATGATAAGATCTCAGTTGACTGAACAAAGTGCGAACATTCTTTTTCGCAGTTAACTTAGTTCAGCTTGCTATATCTTCCCTTTTTCTTTACATATCTTGAAATAATTAAATCAAGCTAGTGAAGATGTTTCATTTTTGTATCTCTTGAACTAGACTCACCCTTCTCTAAGACAATTCTTCATGCACCTGTGTCTTTTTTTTTCTTTTTGAAGTAAACCATTCCTCAGGAACTCTACTTGGGCATTCTGTTAATTTCTGTCCTCAACTGTCATCATTCTGCATGCAGAGCGCATAGAATAGGAATGATTAATTGCAGATGTGCAGTCAATTATAACTAATGAAGAAAGAGGAGCATCCATAAAGTGACTGACACTGTTATGTTAGCCAATTATCTATGCAACCATTGTGGGAGCACTTCTGCATGCAGTTTTTGGATATCTACATTGTAAACTCGTGTAAATAAAATCACAACTTACTTATCATAAACTTCGTCTCACACAACACATCAAACCCCCTTTCTGCAGGTTATCGATTTCCATCAGACTTTAGAAGTAAATGGTATCCGGTTCTGGTGTTACACTGCTGGCCATGTCCTTGGTGCTGCCATGTTCATGGTTGACATTGCTGGTGTTCGAGTCCTGTACACTGGAGACTACTCACGTGAAGAAGACCGGCATCTTCAAGCTGCTGAGCTCCCACAGTTCTCCCCCGACATTTGCATTATTGAATCCACTTACGGTGTTCGACTTCATCAACCGCGCCATATTCGAGAGAAGCGCTTCACGGAGATCATTCACTCAACCCTTTCACAAGGAGGTCGTGTCCTAATCCTAGCATTTGCCCTTGGCCGTGCACAAGAACTCCTCCTGATCCTTGATGAATATTGGTCAAACCATCCTGAACTCCATAACATTCCCATATACTAGGCTTCCCCTCTTGCAAAAAGGTGCATGGCTGTTTATCAGACCTACGTCAATGCCATGAACGAGAGGATCCGCAATCAATTTGCCACCTCAAACCCTTTTGATTTCAAACACATATCGGCGCTGAGTAGTATTGAGAATTTTAATGATGTAGGCCCATCGGTTGTGATGGCAAGCCCAGGTGGGCTTCAGAGTGGGTTGTCTCGACAGTTATTTGATAAGTGGTGCTCTGACAAGAAAAATGCTTGCGTTATTCCTGGGTATGCTGTGGAAGGTACATTGGCAAAAACGATCACTACCGAACCAAAGGAAGTTACCCTTATGAATGGCCTCACTGTTCCTCTTAACATGCAGGTACATTACGTTTCCTTCTCGGCTCATGCGGATTATGCCCAGACGAGTGCATTCTTGGAAGAGCTTATGCCTTCTAACATAATTCTTGTTCATGGAGAAGCCAATGAGATGGGGAGGCTCAAGCAGAAGCTTATTTCTCTGTTTGCTGACGGCAACACCAAAATTATTTCTCCTAAGAACTGCCAGTCTGTTGAAATGTATTTCAACTCCGAGAAAATGGCAAAAACTATTGGAAGGTTGGCTGAAAAGACCCCTGAAGTTGGTGAAACTGTTGGTGGTTTGCTAGTAAAGAAAGGGTTCACTTATCAGATCATGGCACCTGATGATCTTCATGTGTTCTCACAACTATCAACTGCAAATGTCACACAAAGGATTACCATCCCATACTCAGGTGCCTTTGCAGTGATAAAACACAGACTCAAGCAGATATACGAAAGTGTGGAGTGTTCGACAGATGAGGAATCTGGGGTTCCAACCTTGCGAGTGCATGATTGTGCAACAGTGAAGCAGGAATCAGAAAAGCATATTTTAATGCATTGGACGGCAGATCCTATTAGTGATATGGTGTCGGACTCTATTGTGGCTTTGGCTTTAAATGCCAGCAGGGAGATGCCTAAGGTGGTGGTGGTGGAGTCGGAGCCTGAAACAAATGAAGCAGAAAATGAGAAGAAAGCAGAGAAAATCATCCTCTCACTCCTCGTTTCTCTCTTTGGAGATGTTAAGCTTGGAGAGAATGGGAAGCTGGTGATAAGTGTTGATGGAACTGTGGCTCATCTCGATAAACAGAGTGGTGATGTTGAAAGCGAAAACGAAGGTCTAAAAGAACGAGTGAAAATGGCGTTTCGTCGGATTCAGAGTGCTATGAAGCCAATTCCACACTCTGCATCTTAGCTTCTGTTCATACTTTTTTTACTATGATGTTAAACCTTTAATGAGTGTAGTTGATCTTTGTTGTATATATTTTTTTTAATTGATTTTATACATTCCTGATTTGTTTACTAATGTCATGTCGGGTCTAAAGACTTAAACTATCTAATTTTATATCATATTTGTATCATATTAATAAGTTGTGTCATGTTTTGACCTTTTAGTATTACTAGTTAGTGCACGTGTATTTCGAATTATAGTTTTATTTTTTTATTCTAAGAGAAATAATTCCTAAGCTTTTATCAAGATTAGTTTGATTCCCTCAAACTTCCAAGAAAAAAAAAATATTTTGTTTCAATTTACTTTATTTCTTATCATCTGAAAAACAAAATGAGTTTCTAATTAAATTTAAGATGTTGTCGAGACTCTAGAAGCAACCGTTTGGTAAAAAAAAAAATTTCATTTGTTTCATAGCCTTGATCAAGTGCAATGCCGGATGGCCGAAATTATTTCATCCTCCCAATTTGTTTATATTTTTTTTCACTTTACTATTGTAGTTTCTACACCTTGAGGAGATGGCAAGTGAGTAAGACTGAGACTAACAAACCAAATAAATTTACCTCTTAAAATTATGAGGAATGAGTACATGAACATGTCTAATAGTTATGTTAGATTAAACAAAATAATAGATACCTATATAAAATTTATGTTGTCTTAGTACAGAAGATTTGTACATCTTAATAGATAACAATATTCTTGTGTTTTGATAAATTATTTCTTTGTGTTTTGTGTTTGATCATATATTTTTGAGAGCCTATGTCTATATTGACCAACTCCACTAAATTTGCTCAATTCCTCCAACATTTATCTAATCAAAACCAATACAAAATAGTGAGATTGAACAAAACTATGCAAATTTTGGCCATCTCTTATGTTAGGTCTTTATCTTCATATGTTATTCACCATCCGCCACTCTTAGATGTTGAGTTTTTTTCACTGTCAAAATGAATTAACCTTAATTATAATCAAAAAATAAAAGGAACATACACATTCACACACAAAATACAAAAACAAGTGCAAAAAGTGAGATCAATTGATTGGTGGAAAAAGAAATAAAGAAAATAATTCACATAATTGTGGCACTTAACACCTATAGGAGTTTTCTGATTTTTTTATTTCGATTGTTATAAAAAAAGAGATAATGTGTATGAAATAAAAATGTTCAAACCGACTAATCAATATTAAGTTAGAATTTGAAAGGTCAAAAAATAAATGAAACAAATTTGAAGCTTTTACAATTTATGTTGGGGAAAGGATTAAAAGTCCAATTATTGATAGTAAAAAAATGACTTTTTATATACTATTATTTGAACAATCATGTATAAGTGTATCAATGAATCAATAGGAAATTAAGTGGCTAAAAAAATAGAATTAGATAATAGTTGTACTGTAAACTAAATGGTTGGTAGAGAGAGAGAGAGAGTCATCAACTTGTGAAAGAAGTAAATGTACACTATAAGGGACACCAATAATTTATGTGAAAGTGGAAGTATATGAAGGGTCGTTTGAATATTTAATAATTAAATTTATAAGGATATAATTAGTTTTAACCTTTTTAATAAGAATATAATAGTTAATCAAAAGTTTTTCATTTAGTTTCTTTTTATTAGTAGTATAGATATTGATTTCTCGAGAAAAAATTGGAATTTAAAAAATTGGAGTTTACATTTTTTTTTTTGTTTATGAATTTAAATGAAACCCATTATATTTAAATACATCATTCACCCAATAAAGGTGAATAATTTGACAAGAAGAAAAATAAAAGAAAAACTATCGGAAAAGATCTGTGTCCTAATAATAGTAATGAGTAAGGAAATTGAGGTCCTGATTAGTGAATAAACAATGTTTTGATTTGGTATTTGATTTCCATGTCGAAAATTTGAACTTTTTTAAGATGTTGATGAAATAAAATTTTAAAATTTGTTTTAAACTTTAATTTGATGCTCGTTTAAATATTGGTTCAAATATTTTGTTTGGTCAACACTTTTTTTGTGGTTCAATGATCAAGGGTGTTCGGATCAACTTACGTGCACATCAACAAATCTCCTTCCTGGTCTGGTCAAAGGCAAGTCATCAACGTCAAGACTAGGGTATTGATAAGGGATAAATCTCTCATGGTCTGACCTCAAGTGATTGTCAAGATTCGAACTCAAGATGTCTGGGTTTACAGCTTGTCTCTGTTACCACTTGAACTATCCTTGAGGTTAGTCAACACTACGGGTGTTAATTGAGCTGAGCTTGAGCCCGAGCTTGACGAGTTTGTTTTCTAAACGAGTCTAAAAAACTGTTCAAGTTCGGCTCGTTTAGAACTCGAGCTGAGTCTGAGCTCGAGTAATTCGACTATTTTACATATAAACGAGCTGTGATTGCGAGTTTGAGCCGAACCTTTTAGCATTGTTTTTCTAAGCGAGCCTACTAAAAATTATTCAAGTTCAGCTCGTTCAAAATACGATTCGAACTTGAGCCAAATTTTATGTGAGCTGAGCCCGAGTAACTCTTCTTGATTAACGCCCTTATTCAATACCATTGCGTGAGCATAACATCATTTGATTCCTAGCACTACTTATTTTCTAAGTTTACCATGTTAAATGGGATTCAGATCAATTTTAGTACATTTTTTTTTCTAAATTTTAGATCACTTACTAGATGATGGTGAATAAAACGTGGCTGAGCAAATTAGGTGTGTTAGGGGGTTTAATCTGAGCTACAAGGCTCTTGGAATGAGTGAAACTACTTCTTGGGTGAGAGAAGGTGGATTACACAAAAGAATTATAGTGGTTCACCAGCCCGGGAGCCCGACTAGTCTGTTTTGTAAAGGAGTCTCTTGTTCCTGGTGTTTTTATTGAAGATGGAGAAAAGATTACAGAGTCTTCTTTGTTTTGTCTGGATTGTTTGCCTCGTAGTGAGGGCTTTGCTCAGTATTTATAGCCTAGTCTCTAATTTCAAGGGGTCTGTAGCGAGATGTTCGCCTTCCTCTTGGAATATTGTGCTTGATTCCAGGCGAGGGTTGAGGTGGTTAAGGATCTTGTGCCTAGNCGTAGTGAGGGCTTTGCTCAGTATTTATAGCCTAGTCTCTAATTTCAAGGGGTCTGTAGCGAGATGTTCGCCTTCCTCTTGGAATATTGTGCTTGATTCCAGGCGAGGGTTGAGGTGGTTAAGGATCTTGTGCCTAGACTGGCACNGAGTGTTCGACAGATGAGGAATCTGGGGTTCCAACCTTGCGAGTGCATGATTGTGCAACAGTGAAGCAGGAATCAGAAAAGCATATTTTAATGCATTGGACGGCAGATCCTATTAGTGATATGGTGTCGGACTCTATTGTGGCTTTGGCTTTAAATGCCAGCAGGGAGATGCCTAAGGTGGTGGTGGTGGAGTCGGAGCCTGAAACAAATGAAGCAGAAAATGAGAAGAAAGCAGAGAAAATCATCCTCTCACTCCTCGTTTCTCTCTTTGGAGATGTTAAGGTTGGAGAGAATGGGAAGCTGGTGATAAGTGTTGATGGAACTGTGGCTCATCTCGATAAACAGACTGGTGATGTTGAAAGCGAAAACGAAGGTCTAAAAGAACGAGTGAAAATGGCGTTTCGTCGGATTCAGAGTGCTATGAAGCCAATTCCACACTCTGCATCTTAGCTTCTGTTCATACTTTTTTTACTATGATGTTAAACCTTTAATGAGTGTAGTTGATCTTTGTTGTATATATTTTTTTTAATTGATTTTATACATTCCTGATTTGTTTACTAATGTCATGTCGGGTCTAAAGACTTAAACTATCTAATTTTATATCATATTTGTATCATATTAATAAGTTGTGTCATGTTTTGACCTTTTAGTATTACTAGTTAGTGCACGTGTATTTCGAATTATAGTTTTATTTTTTTATTCTAAGAGAAATAATTCCTAAGCTTTTATCAAGATTAGTTTGATTCCCTCAAACTTCCAAGAAAAAAAAAATATTTTGTTTCAATTTACTTTATTTCTTATCATCTGAAAAACAAAATGAGTTTCTAATTAAATTTAAGATGTTGTCGAGACTCTAGAAGCAACCGTTTGGTAAAAAAAAAAATTTCATTTGTTTCATAGCCTTGATCAAGTGCAATGCCGGATGGCCGAAATTATTTCATCCTCCCAATTTGTTTATATTTTTTTTCACTTTACTATTGTAGTTTCTACACCTTGAGGAGATGGCAAGTGAGTAAGACTGAGACTAACAAACCAAATAAATTTACCTCTTAAAATTATGAGGAATGAGTACATGAACATGTCTAATAGTTATGTTAGATTAAACAAAATAATAGATACCTATATAAAATTTATGTTGTCTTAGTACAGAAGATTTGTACATCTTAATAGATAACAATATTCTTGTGTTTTGATAAATTATTTCTTTGTGTTTTGTGTTTGATCATATATTTTTGAGAGCCTATGTCTATATTGACCAACTCCACTAAATTTGCTCAATTCCTCCAACATTTATCTAATCAAAACCAATACAAAATAGTGAGATTGAACAAAACTATGCAAATTTTGGCCATCTCTTATGTTAGGTCTTTATCTTCATATGTTATTCACCATCCGCCACTCTTAGATGTTGAGTTTTTTTCACTGTCAAAATGAATTAACCTTAATTATAATCAAAAAATAAAAGGAACATACACATTCACACACAAAATACAAAAACAAGTGCAAAAAGTGAGATCAATTGATTGGTGGAAAAAGAAATAAAGAAAATAATTCACATAATTGTAGAACTTAACACCTATAGGAGTTTTCTGATTTTTTTATTTCGATTGTTATAAAAAAAGAGATAATGTGTATGAAATAAAAATGTTCAAACCGACTAATCAATATTAAGTTAGAATTTGAAAGGTCAAAAAATAAATGAAACAAATTTGAAGCTTTTACAATTTATGTTGGGGAAAGGATTAAAAGTCCAATTATTGATAGTAAAAAAATGACTTTTTATATACTATTATTTGAACAATCATGTATAAGTGTATCAATGAATCAATAGGAAATTAAGTGGCTAAAAAAATAGAATTAGATAATAGTTGTACTGTAAACTAAATGGTTGGTAGAGAGAGAGAGAGAGTCATCAACTTGTGAAAGAAGTAAATGTAAACTATAAGGGACACCAATAATTTATGTGAAAGTGGAAGTATACGAAGGGTCGTTTGAATATTTAATTAATATTTAATAATTAAATATATAAGGATATAATTAGTTTTAACCTTTTTAATAAGGATATAATAGTTAATCAAAAGTTTTTCATTTAGTTTCCTTTTATTAGTAGTATAAATATTGATTTCTCGAGAAAAAATTGGAATTTAAAAAATTGGAGTTTACATTTTTTTTTGTTTATGAATTTAAATGAAACCCATTATATTTAAATACATCATTCACCCAATAAAGGTGAATAATTTGACAAGAAGAAAAATAAAAGAAAAACTATCGGAAAAGATCTGTGTCCTAATAATAGTAATGAGTAAGGAAATTGAGGTCCTGATTAGTGAATAAACAATGTTTTGATTTGGTATTTGATATCCATGTCGAAAATTTGAACTTTTTTAAGATGTTGATGAAATAAAATTTTAAAATTTGTTTTAAACTTTAATTTGATGCTCGTTTAAATATTGGTTCAAATATTTTGTTTGGTCAACACTTTTTTTGTGGTTCAATGATCAAGGGTGTTCGGATCAACTTACGTGCACATCAACAAATCTCCTTCCTGGTCTGGTCAAAGGCAAGTCATCAACGTCAAGACTAGGGTATTGATAAGGGATAAATCTCTCATGGTCTGACCTCAAGTGATTGTCAAGATTCGAACTCAAGATGTCTGGGTTTACAGCTTGTCTCTGTTACCACTTGAACTATCCTTGAGGTTAGTCAACACTACGGGTGTTAATTGAGCTGAGCTTGAGCCCGAGCTTGACGAGTTTGTTTTCTAAACGAGTCTAAAAAACTGTTCAAGTTCGGCTCGTTTAGAACTCGAGCTGAGTCTGAGCTCGAGTAATTCGACTATTTTACATATAAACGAGCTGTGATTGCGAGTTTGAGCCGAACCTTTTAGCATTGTTTTTCTAAGCGAGCCTACTAAAAATTATTCAAGTTCAGCTCGTTCAAAATACGATTCGAACTTGAGCCAAATTTTATGTGAGCTGAGCCCGAGTAACTCTTCTTGATTAACGCCCTTATTCAATACCATTGCGTGAGCATAACATCATTTGATTCCTAGCACTACTTATTTTCTAAGTTTACCATGTTAAATGGGATTCAGATCAATTTTAGTACATTTTTTTTTCTAAATTTTAGATCACTTACTAGATGATGGTGAATAAAACGTGGCTGAGCAAATTAGGTGTGTTAGGGGGTTTAATCTGAGCTACAAGGCTCTTGGAATGAGTGAAACTACTTCTTGGGTGAGAGAAGGTGGATTACACAAAAGAATTATAGTGGTTCACCAGCCCGGGAGCCCGACTAGTCTGTTTTGTAAAGGAGTCTCTTGTTCCTGGTGTTTTTATTGAAGATGGAGAAAAGATTACAGAGTCTTCTTTGTTTTGTCTGGATTGTTTGCCTCGTAGTGAGGGCTTTGCTCAGTATTTATAGCCTAGTCTCTAATTTCAAGGGGTCTGTAGCGAGATGTTCGCCTTCCTCTTGGAATATTGTGCTTGATTCCAGGCGAGGGTTGAGGTGGTTAAGGATCTTGTGCCTAGACTGGCACTTACTGCCGTTGGGGGAGCGTGTTGTGGCTGCTGACTGTCTTCCACTCGTTTTCTTCGGGGGGTAGGTCAAGGGGGTCCCAGATCTGGATTGCTGAGCTCAGGACCTCTTGGCTGAGCTCCCTTCTTGATCTCAACTCCCGAACTCAAACTTGAAATTTCTTCTAGGTATCATCACTAGATAAGATTCTAATATGTATTAAACCCTAAACTCGATTTGACACTTTGAATTGCATGCCTAAATCTAAGCTTATTTTTGGGCAATTTCATATACATATAACATTTAGCACTTGTGGATCACCTAGTTCTGGACTTTACTCTGAAAAAATAATCTAGGAATAACACATTTAGTCTCGCAAACCTGCTATTAATATTTAAAAAATGATCCTAGCAAAATACATAACATAGTCCACTTTTATATAAAAGTCACACGATTGTGAGCACACCGGCTCATTACCATACTAAACATTTACATAAAAGTACATAAGTATGAGCACACCAACTTGTACCAGGCAAAAAAAAATTCAAGTCCCAAAAATATTTTTAAACTTCATTACACTCCAAAAATAAATGCCTAAGTTTATATACAAAGCCAAAGGGAAAAAGAACAAAAACTGACACGAGTCCCTTCCCCAACAACCCCCGACTAGAAATCTACTTTTGGCAGTGGACTTCAGACTTGTGTACATATTACTTGAAAAGATTTCAAAGAAATTTTTCAGTGAGTATCCAGTAGCTTCCAAAAGTAGAACAGAAAATAACAAGATACACTAATTCATCGATAGAAATCTATTACTCATAATCCCATAATGTTAAACACGAGATCCCATCTCGTTGCTCTACGGTCTCACACAGAGACAATCGTTTTGCCACTCAGGTAACATACTTCGCAAAATTATATCATCACATAGATACCATTCGTCACTCAAACAATTCAACCACAATATTAGTTTTATCTTCAGACGACCCATAACATGTCGTCAATTCTTGTTCTTGTCATTTAGACAATTCAAACACATAATTTATTTCAGTCTTAAACACCTCTTGAAACGCTTAATTTATTTCTAATCATGTAGATAATTTATCCCAATAGCGAACTCTCGTCATTTAGACGACTCTCCCTTACGTCACCTAGACACCAGTTGTTTAGACGTCTCTAACCACTTAGCTTTTCTTATTCTTGTCATGTAGACAACTCATATCAAATATTTAATTCCCATAATTTGGATAACTCACAATCACTTTATGTCCTCCTGTCATGTAGACAACTCAAAATCGAACACATAGTTCCTGTCATGTAGACAACTCAAAATTGAACACTTAGTTCCTGTCACGTAGACAACTCGTATCCAACAATCTATATAATAAAGAAGTTAGTTTTGTTTGTCTTGAGCTTTTTGTAGCTCAGATCGTTTGAAAATTATTGATCCAATGATCCTAATTGGAATTTCATTCATTTTAAAACTCTAAGACTCTTATCTCTCATATAACTTTCTCTCTCTATCTGATACACCTAACTCTCATGCGTATATAACTCTCTCTTTCTCATAGATATTTTAAACACACATTCTCCCATCTCTCATACTCTCTCTTTGTATATATATATATATATCTGTGTGTGTGTGTGTGTGCATAAATAGAGATAGAATGAAAGTCTGATTAGGATTTCGCAGCTCAGATCATTTGAGGATTATTGATCCGATGATCTTAATTGAACTTTCATTCCTTTTAAAACTCTAAAACTCCTATCTCTCACACACTATCCCATCTTTCATACTCTCCCTCTCTCTCTATTTATATATATATATATAGAGAGGGAGAGAGATAACAATTGCACTAAAAACTAAAAAAAAAATTCAAAGCCAAGTTAATCACCAATAAAAAATAACAAGTGATACCAATTGCACCAAAAAA